CATGCGGGTGCGAATATTTTCGCAGCGAAATTCTCATGGTGTCCGAGGTGTTAGCGCCACCTGGTGGCTAAAGCAGCAATCGTACGAAACGTTTCCCGTCGTCGTCCATGAGGGCGTAAACCCTGCAATTGCCAGTTTCCTACTGTGCTGTACTTTTAGACATTTAAAAAATATTTTTCTATGTTATCTGAACAAACTAAATTTATTTGCAGAATTGTGATAGACGTTACGCTGTTTTAGAATGCTGACTAATCAAAACTAATTTATTTAATCATTTGCAAATTACATCAGGGCACTTTCCCTGTTGCAGTTCGATAATTGCTTGCATGCTGTTGACAGACAAAGAAAATTGCGACCAAAAATCACAAGACTTACTCGTCATGTGGAAGATGGCATCGCAGGCGCTAATGTGAGACAGGAAGGCATTGCCTAAACCCTGGCCTTCGTGGGCTCCTTTCACTAGACCAGCGATATCTACTACATTAAGATATGCAGGGACTTTGCTGCAAAAAAAAATCAACCAGTGAAAAAAATACACGGGGCTCAGGGCGATTTAGCCCCCGAAATGCCAAAAAGAGCCCCGGAAATGCCAAAAAGAGCCCCCGTAAATTTGCATAGAGTTCAATGCAAACCAAATTTTAGAGTGCTATTTTCATGCACGCGAGCTTGAAAAGTAGCCCACGAAAAATAAATTTTTTCCCTGAAATCAACAATCCACTAAATGTGAACGCGACGCAACAATGTGAACAACACGAAAATGTGAATAACACGAAATACCGTGATTTTTATATCTGAACACAACGTGACAAATACTGATGGTATTTTAGAAGTACTCACCTGAGTGGTTTGTAATATTGGCATAGAAAGTTCCACCGTTCATCTGGGACAGCTACTCTACCTGCCGAATTCAATGAGAATTAATAGCAGGTATTTGTTAACACACCTTGCGCTAAAGAACATCAGTGTGCCCAATCACCACTATTAGTATTATCAATGATTTACCACTATCACATGCCATATATTTGTTCATGTACCAGGGTTCTCCACAGGACTTTTAACCCGTGTCACGTCAGACACGCATGCCTTAAAAGCTGAACACGTGAAATGCCTCAATTGCCTAATCGACATGCCTTAATTCCAGCTGTGTCCCAAAATAGTCACGCTGTGCTTCCACATCTTTATGTATTATTATGTCTCTGAACTGATCGAGTTTATCTGTGTATTGAGATGCTTACAACACACATAATGGACTCCAATTTGTACAACCCCCTCCCAGGGCCTTCCCCCACCTGTCTATATATATACGACATGCCCATGTATTGGGAGAACCCATGTATGTCAGTCAATTTTTTGTCTGCAACCCTACTGCACACAGTGTTGAGCCCTCAAGCCTTAACCCATCCCCACTCTAACACACACTCTTACATCCTTTGTCGGTACCACACAAATATTGAGCTTTAATGTGCCGATCATCCCATACCATAACACAGGGAGCGAAATTAACAGGAGTCCGGAGTCAAATACTCCCTGATTTACTGTCCGACTCCCTGATTTGACATATGCAGGAGTCCGTGTGACTCCCTGAAAATTTTGGAATACTAACTAGTTCGTTCCAGAGCACGGCCTTGCGAAATTACCGTATTTTTTCAGCAAATGTCCGAAGAAAATTTGGCAGACGTGCAACCGCATGAATCTTCAAAATGAGCACATGCGTTATTGTTAATATCTTTAATTTTGAACTTCAGACTGGGGACTCCCTCATTTTGCTGCAGACTCACTCTTTTTGAAGACATCATTGGACTCCCTTGTTCAAAAGTTAATTTCTACCCCTGATAACACGGGCTCGCGCCACGTACATACTTGACAAATAACATATAGATGCAATGGTGTAAACAATTCCAAGCATAAGGCAGGAATGTAAATAAAGCTTAAAGATAATACAGTATCACTATTATAGGTGAAAAATCAGAAGTACCCGTAAATATATAAGCAGCATAGACTATGTCCCCAAATTACTATTATGCGTTCCTCTCTTTGACACATACTTCAACAGATTTTCAATACTGAATAGTCACATAACAATCACGATTATCACTTTATAAATATGTAAGCACAGTAAGGTCTGTTACCAACTACACACATGTTCTTCTCGTCTACACATACTTTCGTTCGGATCTATTGTGCAAAAAGGAAAGTTTGATGCGGCAGCCATGCTTTTTGTCAGAACATTGAAGAATGTCGATTTCCTGCAAAGATGCAATTTTAAGATTACAGTCATACATAAATAAAACAGAATTATAACAAGTTACATTAAATGTCAACCATAACGTCGTGGGAGAAAAAGGGACAGCATTTCAACTTGCATTACTGTCTGTAAGATTCGTTAACATATATGGGTTATCAACATACTGCATGGAACACCTTGAACACTATAGGCATGGCCAAAACGCTGGTTTGCAGGGTTATAGTCACTATTGTATCATTTTAGAGGGCAGCCCTAATCCTGAATAATTGATGTACACATTCTTGTCTTATAACCAGATGTATTAATGACATATGCTAATTATTATAATGAATTATTATTATTATTAAATCTTTATTGCATATAATTCAAATACAACCACATGTACTGCAGAGTCTTTTTCATGGTGAAAAAATCTGATAGATGCAATACTGTTGCGCGGTTAATACAGAGTACTGGAGTATAGTAATACAGTACAAAACAATGCTATATATATACAACATAAGATGCAAGAAAAAAATCTTAACAAATAATTCAAAAAGAGCACTTTATTTAGCACATTTAAAAAACTGTTAAAATTTTACTTTTTACGTTTTTTAAATGTGCTAAGTGAAGGGCTCTTTTTTGTGTATAATGGTAGTCTATTCCATTGGTTTATTGCCTCCTTAGTAAGTTGTGGCCATACATATTATTTGTTGTTATTTGTTTTAATTTCAATGTCCTTGAATTTAGTGTAATATTTGTCAGGTATGGTAGGGGATTATTTCCAACTGGTGTGTTAACTTGTTAAGGTACATAGTGGATATATTTGTATATAAATATAGGTATGTCAATTTTTGAATTTAATATGTTGGCTATGTCTTTTATGTCTGTGGTAACCATGTTATTAGATTTGATTTCATGCATATAGCTCTCACTGTTTTCACATCATATCACATCATATACCACGTCATTGTGCTTCAGTAATAAGTTTCCATTTGTCTTCGCCTCATTGCTTTTGTTTTTGTAATACATACAGCGCAATAATCACAAACGAACATACCCAACATTTGGTAGGCCAACTATACCAACTTTAAGATTTGTTCCCATCCGACCAATGATGGGTGGCAACTTCTCCGGTACATCTTTCTTTTTTGGAGGCATTTTTCAACAACTAAAAGAAATATTAATAACATTCAACAATAACAAAATATTTGAAGTACTATTATTATATTATAGTTGTAGGTTATCATACCTAGGAGTCATCAGTTCTGGTTGGCAGTACGCTGATTTCCACATGCTAACACACACATGATTAGACCAATAAATTGTTCCCTAGAAACTTTTAGAATCTGACGATAGGCTCCAGAAGTTCCTAGACTAGAGTAGAACTAGAATAGTATCAGATTATAAACAATTTTAAGGCACAATTTAGGCTGCGGCTGGAGGTACGGCAGCAGTATCTCCAATTTACGAGGCTGCGAGTGCGGCAGTCACTCTCGTAGTTCTGGTACAGGGTAGCGAAGGAGCAGTGTAGGGAGGGGGAGGAGGAAGGGAGGGGAAGGGAGGGGGAGGGAGGAGGAAGTTTAGAGTAGTACTAGTAGGTGGAGTAGGGAGAAGCTAGTAAAGAATGAGGAAGGGGAGAAGGGGAGAAGGGAGAAGCTGGTGGAGGAGGAGGGGAGAAGCTGGTGGAGAAGGAGGAAGGGGAGGAGGGGGAGAAGGGAGCTGGTGGAGGAGGAGGGGGAGAAGGGAGAAGCTGGTGGAGGAGGAGGGGAGAAGCTGGTGCAGAAAGAGGAAGGGGAGAAGGGAGAAGCTGGTGGAGAAGGGAGAAGCTGGTGGAGGAGGAAAGGGAGAAGGGAGAAGGTGGTGGAGAAGGAGGAGGGGGAGAAACTGGTGGAGAAGGAGGAAGGGGAGAAGCTGGTGGAGAAGGAGGAAAGGGAGGAGGGGGAGAAGGGAGCTGGTGGAGGAGGGGGAGAAGAGAGAAGCTGGTGGAGGAGGAGGGGGAGAAGCTGGTAGAGAATGAGGAAGGGGAGAAGGGAGAAGCTGGTGGAGAAGGGAGAAGCTGGTGGAAGAGGAAGGGGAGAAAGGAGAAGGTGGTGGAGGAGGAGAGAGAGAAGCTGGTGGAGAAGGAAGAAGGGGAGAAGGAGGGAGCTCCTTCTCCACCAGCTCCTCCCCTTCCTCCTTCGCCACCAGCTTCTCCCTTCTCTCCTTCCTCCTCCACCAGCTCCCTTCTCCCCTTCCTCC